TATTTAGCCTCCTTGTGTTCAAATGTCTTTTCATGTTTTTGTTGTAATTGATTTCTAGTTTCATGCCATTGTGATCTGAGAAGATGCCTGATATGATTTCAATCTTCTTGAACTTGTAGAGACTTAGTTTGTGTCCTAACATGTGGTCTGTCTTTGAGAATGTCCCATGTGCACTTGAGAAGAGTGTAAATTCTGCAGTTTGGGGGAGTAATTCACTGTAGATATCTATTAAATTCAATTGATCTAGTGCATCATTAAATAAACTATTTTTAATAAGTTAATTACCACAAGTCTTTTTAAAATTATGTAGTAACTATGTATTAATTTTAGTATTTTTTCTTTATGGTGTTTCACTATGCTGGAATGCTTTAAGAGCCTTTCACAACTTTTAAAATATAGAAGTTTTAATAAAATCAGTAATTATATTTTTCTTGACTCTTACAGTTGTATTTTTAGCTTTAAATCTTTACTTTATCTGGAATCCATTTTGATGTCAATAGTGTGATAGGGCTCCAATCACCCCCCCCACCCCAATTTGGTAACAGCAGTAATTACTGAGTAATTTATGCCCCAGTCTCCTTGTTTGAAATGCCTTTGTATTATATGCTAAATTTCATTATATAGTAGAGTCTTCTTTGGGCTTTGTTCTGTTCTATTGATCCTTATGTTTTCTAACCTTTCATTAGTTACTGAGCCCTTGGTCTTTTCCTATCAAATCTACTTCTTTCCTATTTTTTCTTCTTATTAGTAAATGGTATCTTCTTCCCCTAAGACCAATCTAGATGAGTGGGAGGCATCTTAGATATCTTTTACCAGTTACCCTTAACATCCGATCAGTCCTCATGTCCTACCACAGAAATCCACTCACCTGCAACTTCACTGCCACCTCCTTAGGCTAAACCACAATCTCGCGGAAATCTACTGTAGTCTCCTATCTTGTTTCCACACTTTCATTTTACTCTTGTCCAAGTCATTTTCTGCACAGTATCAAGAAGGATCTTTTAAGTTTAGTTACATATATTTGTTGTCTTTATAAAAACAGTTGTTGAATGAAAAAAATATTGCTTTATAATGTTTTTAAACTGGTAGATCAAGATCTTCTTAGTGTTGATTGCTTTAGTCTCATTATATTTTTTTATGATAGTTGGAATGCCTTTTTAGAACTTTAAGTCTATCTTTCAGCCTATACTTTTAACACATTACCATATGGTTATAATATTTCAATGTTCACTTTTAAAATCTGATAAGTTACATTATCTTTTCAAAAATAATGGTCATTGCACTGGCCGGTTTGGCTCAGTGTTTAGAGCATCGACCTGCAGTCCAGAGAGACCCAGGTTTGGTTCCTGCTAAGGGTGTGTACCTTGGTTGCAGTTTGTCCTCCGCCCTGGTTGGTTGTGCGGGTGGCAGCCACTCGATGTGTCTCTCTCACATCGATGTTTCTCTCTCACTCTATTCCTCTCTCTCCCTCCCACTCTGTCTGAATAAAAAATGGAAAAATGTCCTCGGGTGAGGATAAAAAAAATAAAATTAAAAAATAATGGTCATTGATATTTCTGCCAGATGAGTTTCATTATTGCTATTTTAAAGCTATATTACGTACCTCACTTGGTGTATAAGTTTTAAAATTATCTGCATAGCCCTGGCTCATTTGGCTTTGTGGACCAAGGGGTCTCAGGTTCGATTCCATCAAGGGCTTGAACCTGGGTTGCAAGTTCGATCCCTAGCCCCAGCATCAGTGTTTCTTCCTCTTTCTCCCCCTCCCTCTCTTTCACTCTATCTAAAATTCAATGGAAAAATTTCCTCGGGTGAGGATTAACAAAATAAAATTGGAATAATAATTTATGGCTTTATTTGATCACATCATCATTTTTATTTCTTTTAGAATTTCTGACCTAGGTTAGAGACTCCTATCCCAAATTAAATTAATACTCATAGATTTGATGAGTCTTAATGTTGTTAAATATGTAGGTTTGGGTTTTTTTTAAGCATGGAGATATGTAATGACTCTTGGTAAATTTATTGTGTGTCTACAAGTTTGCTGAAGTCACTGTCTCTGAGTGTACAATACATTATTATTGACTATAGGTAAAATGTTGTACAGTAGATCTCAAGAGCTATTTATCTTGCTTGACTAAAACTTCATGAATTTCCTTAGATTTCTTTTTAGTTACATAATTATGCCAAAATAAAAATCTTGATTTCCCCTTTCACATCCTACTATTTCCCAGTCCCCAAATCATCCCATTTTAATTCTTTTTTTTTTTTAAATCCTAACCCAAGGACATTTTTTGCATTTATCTTCAGATAGAGTGGGAGGGAGAGAAGGGGGAGGAGAGAGAGAAAAACATTAATGTGAGAGAGACACATCGACTGGCTGCCACCCACATGACCCCAACTGGGGCCAAGGACAAACTGCAACCGAAGTACATGCCTTTAGTGGGAACTAAACCCGGGACTCTCTGGTCCACGGGCCAGTGCTCTAACCCCTGAGCCAAACTGGCCAGGGCTGATTCTTCGCATAATACTTCTAACTATCTAAAACTCTCTTGTTTATTTATTTGCTTTTTATTGTTGTCAGATGTGTTTTCTCTCCTTTAAATTTCAAATTCCATGAGAGCAGTCTTGCCTTGTTTATTGATGTATCCAAAGTACCTAGAATAGCAGCACTTGGCACAGACTAGGTACCCAGTTATTTGTTGTTAAATGAATATTCTCTGTAACAATTAGTATTTTAATTTTTAATTTTTCTATATTTATACCCCGTTTTTTTAACTACTATGGCAAATTAGAGTGGTGAATAGGCATCCCAAATAATTTTTTTCTATGTTATGTTAGGGGAGTGACTGTATTATATGCTGGCTTTTGGTTTAAAATACATGTGTATAGCCCTGGGGTCAGTTTCAACAGATATATTTATTTCATCAGCTTTTTTTCCCTTGCTCCATTCACCATATCTGTGTGTGTGTGTGTGTGTGTGTGTGTGTGTGTTCATTTTGGTCATTGTTTTAGATTTATTTATTTTTCTTAAATCTCATGATGCAACTTACTCATTGTATCTATTACAGGTGTTTATAATTTCACATAATAGAAAATGATGAGATTTCTTAGGATTGGCAAGCATGTATTATGTTCTTCAGCCTCATAACAGCAAGATAGATGTCTATAGAAAGCAGTTCTGTTTTATGCTTCTTTTTGTAAGACTAAAACGATAGATAGCTAGTCTCTTAATTAAATGCAATATGATGGTGCTTTCCTTTGAATCATATTAAAACATATTGGAAGTCATTTATAGTTCTGATAGTCACATGGTGAAATCTGGCATCTCTCACAAATTCTGGTTCTGAATTTTTATCTTCTGGATATCTCCATGAGTTGTTCCCTATGAGCTCACATGCCTGACTTTCAGCATGTAATGAGTGTTTTCACCACAGTACCCAGTTTCTTAATCTAATTTACTCTAATTTTTGTATTAAGTTATGATAGTCCTTAAAAGTGCATACAGATATGATTGTTCTCTTTCATATAAGGAAGGCTATGTTGCTTAAACATTTTTAAAAGTCTTTTTTCAAATGCCTTAAAAGAAGAGTATGTGTTTAAAGTCTTTTTTGTTTAAAAGTTTAGCCAGATAGCCCTAGCCAGTTTGGCTCAGCTGATGGAGCATTGGCCCATGGACCAGAGTCCCGGGTTTGGTTCCCACTAAGGGCACATACCTTGGTTGCAGTTTGTCCCAGGCCCTGGTTGGGGTTGTGTGGGTGGCAGCCAGTGGATGTGTCACATTGCTGTTTCTCTCTGTCTTCCTCCTTCTCTTTGTCCCGCTCTATCTGAAGATAAATGGAAAAAAAAAAAAAAAGTTTAGCCAGATAGATAGATAGATTAATTAATTTTTAAAAGGGCCCTGGCCAGTTGGCTCAGTTGTTGCTGGTTTGATTCCTGGTCAGGCAGGGCACATGCCTGGGTTGCGGGCTGGATCCCCAGTAGGGTTCATGCAGGAGGTAGCCTGTCAGTGGTTCTCTCTCATCAGTGTTTATTTCCCTCCCTCCCTCACTCCCTCCCTAAAATCAATAAAAATGTGTTTTAAAAAAATAAAAGCTCTGAGAACTCCTAAAGTAAAGAAATTTAAGTTAGTATTTTCTTTTTTTTTTAAATTGTGGTAAAGTGTACATAACATTTTGGCTCTCACATCATTGTTTCTCCCTTCTCTCTAAAAATCAATTAAAAAATTAAAAATTTAGCCAGTTTTTTAAGGAAAATTAACTTTCTTCAGATCAGCAAAGTGTTTTGTGTATGCTTGCAGTGTAGAAGGGAGTGGGGATGTTTAACTAGTAAAACCAAAAGGTTGTGAGAGATCGAGTCCTTGAAGTAGAAAAGCCAGCCCTCAAAAACTGCACTTTGCAATTATGTCAAAATACACTGGTTAGGAAAACAAAGTTTCTAGCAAACAGTGTCTACAAAGACAAGTAGACTTTGTTCTATGAGAGATTCTAGAAAGAATATAAGCTATTAATTGGAATTTGTTTTCCTTTAGTCTTTAGCTGTACTGAGTGATAGCTATTCTAGAAAGTGGTGAATTCATTTACAGCTAACTGTGTTAAGTTGCATATACCAACCTGGGTTTTTTGTTTTTAACTGTTCTCTGCTTAATGATTTAAATCTGGGAATTTTGCCTGCCTTTTATTTCTTTGGTTTGCAAATTGGAAAAGGAAACAAAATATCCAACCTTTTAAGGAGAACTCTTTTCCTGTAGGAGTTTATTTCCTCAACTGGTAGAGTGGCCAGGCCTTTTTTTTTTTTAAAGAAACAAGAAACAGCTTATCTTTGATTATTGGTGTGATGGCTGAAAAGTAGATTTTTCTCCTGGGATCCCCACAGGTGTTAGTAGGCAGCTGGCTATGTTATAGTAGTTTTGTTAATTTCATTTGAGGAGCTCTTCTGTAGAAGATTTAGTTTGAAATTTTATTTTTCAAATATACTTTGGCTTTTTCACTTTTATTTTTTAGGCTGTGCGTGTTACAAAACCCAAAATCCCAGAAGCCATAAGAAGAAATTTTGAGTTAATGTGAGTAATATGCATGGGATCCCAATATTTTATTTAGGGCTGTCTACATATTAGTATACCAGTCTAAAGGAAATGTCTGTGTGAGATATTACACTAGGGTGTGTTTTATGTCTGTCTTCCATACTTTAATTCTAGTAATGCAGTCAAACCTCAGTTCTTAAACGTCTCCCATCTTTTTTTTTTTTTTTTTAATCCTCATCCGAGGACATTTTTCCATTTTTTGTACAGACAGAGTGGGAGGGAGAGAGAGGAAGAGAGAGAGAGGGAAACATCGATGTGAAAGGGACACATCGAGTGGCTGCCACCCGCACGACCATCCAGGGCCGGGGACAAACTGCAACCGAGGTACATGCCCTTAGCGGGAACCGAACCCGGGTCTCTCCGGACCGCAGGCCGACGCTCTAACCGCTGAGCCAAACCGGCCAGGGCAAACGTCTCCCATCTTGAATAGTTCAGTTCTCCACCAAGTTGTTTGCAGAAAATGTCTCAGTTGTTGAACAAAACTTTGGTTCTCAACCTGACAACCTTTTCATGCTGGTACCAATATGGTTAGTCACACGTCTCTCAGGCGACAAACAAAGGAGAGAATTCTCAAGTATGAGTCGGTTTACTGGTAAACCTCCCATTGTTCACATCTCAGGAAATTGTGCTATGAATACTTTTGTGTCCTTTTACTTTTGTTGCTGCTTATTATTATTAAATGTGTACACTAAGTCACCATGGGTCCTAAGAAATTTAGTGATAGCAGCAGAGTGATAAGAAAAGTTGTGAGAACAGCAACAGAGCTAAAAAAAAGAAATAACTGCAAAGTATGATAGAGGTATTCACATGTCTTATCTGTACATTTCATTTCCTTTCTGTTAAATTTTCATTTACATTTCATCTCTTTTTTGAAATTGTTTTAAATTGTTTATAAATTAAACAGTACATTATACATATATTGTATATAAGAAAGATTAAAACAGAATCATTGAGGGTCTGTGATGTATTAATTCAATTTAAATTATTTCTAATGGGAAAAAAATAATTCTGTTTTTGAACAAATCACTTCTCGAGCAGCCTCCTGGAACGAATTAAGTTCGAGAACCAAGATTCCACTGTATTGCCTTTTCTAAGTGTCTTATTTCCCACTAGACTCTTACTACTTTTCTCTTTCGGTATGGACATTTCAGAAACAGCTTTAGTGACTTAAGATGCAGTTTGCTGTAGAACTGTTGTTAGAAGCCTAAGGAGTTATAATTTTGTTGTGAATAATACATTGAATTAAATATTAATAGAGGAGAGCAAGAGTCCTAGCTATTAAGGTTGAAGAGAGTGCCTATATTTTGTTACTGTGTTATAATGGTAAGAATAGATATCTTACTGGATTAATGTTCTGTTAGGATGTGATTGTGTATCTAAATTTAGAGCTGGGTCTTTATAATGTGCCTCTGGGGAAGCTTTGCCTGAGTTGACTCCTGGTAGTATTCTCTATTTGTCCAGGGCCAACTGGATATGAGAAGTTACTTGCTTGACATGAAATTAGTTTCTAAGTATTTTAGAAGATCCCTTTTAGGGGAATACCTACCGTAGTTAAAATGGCAATATTGTTCTCATATGACAGTACTGAGAAGAAACAAAAATCTAGGAAATTTGGCTGACATGTTAAGAGGAAAAATATGAAATGCTGGAAAAGTAACTTTGCAAAAGTCAAGAATACAGCCGATGTATAAATACAATGGGTCCAAGGTATAATAATAACACTTTATGGTTTGATACACTTCTGAGTCCTATTGTTCCCAAGCCATACCTTCTATTTTGCAGAGTTTTGTTTTCCATTTTTTCATTGTAGAAAAGAACTCTTTTTTTAAACTGTAAAGCACAGAGTGTCAGGCTGAATAGGTCATGGGTCTGATCCATTTATAGAAAAAAAATTTATTAAAGGCCAAGTATGGTCTTAGGCTTTCAATATGATGGCTTCTGGTGATGGAAAGAGGAATACTATGTGTTCTCTGCCCTCAAATTCCTCATTGTATCCAGAATGGCATTTTATGTCTTTATCAGTGTTGGCAGGAAGAAAGAGGAGAGCTTTGGGTAAGTGTTTTTGGGAAACCATTGGAGCTACTTTTCAGATAATTCTGGATCTTTCCTAATTTTATAGATTATTGGATTTCCAGAATTAAAGCCACCTTGGGATCATCCAAGCCAACTTCTCATCTAATAGTAATTTTTTAATACCATTTCTGCCATATGGTCACCCAGTTGCCACTTTTACATGCTTAATGATTGGTTAACCATTTCCATTATTAGAAAACTCAGATTCTTAGAAAATTTTTTCTTACACTGAGCCCCAGTTCACCACCTAGTAAACTGCCATCTAGTTATATCTTTTGTACAGCAAATAAGGCCACTACACAAGGGTGTCTGCCTGAGGGTCTGAAATTCAGCTCCTTTATGCTTGCCAAACAATGCACCTACAGATTGTATCTACCCAGAGGTTGGTGCCTTTGCTAATTGGCCCAGAAGTGCTGCATGGGCTACCTGGAGGCCTAACAGCAAAGGAAGCATATACTCCAGATACTTCGAAATCACAGACCTTTTCATGATACAGTTAGAGGAAAAAGTCAGATTAAAATTCAAATGTACTAAATTTGATTCCTATCTCTAGGTGACTGGGCAAATCATTTAACATTTCAACCTCAGGTTCATTATATATAAAATAGAGTAACACCTCTCTTGCTGACCTTAATGGGTCAAAAAGTTCTTGTTTGAAGAAGGTTCTCTGACCCACTGTAGAGTCCAAATTATTGCTATGACTGCACATCCTTTCTAATTTTTATGATATTTTGTCCACAGGGAGGCTGAGAAGACAAAACTTCTTATAGCTACCCAGAAACAAAAGGTGGTGGAGAAAGAAGCTGAGACAGAGAGGAAAAAGGCTATTATAGGTACTTGGATTTCTTTCTGAAATGGTTGTTTCTAAGTACATGTGTTGTGAGTTTGTCCTGTTCTTTGTCAGCTTCATGTTAGACATTGATTGGACTCAAATAAGATTGCATCATACATAGTTTAAAGTTCTGGAAACTTCTTTGTACAGGCCGATGTCCTAAAGCCTTTAAAAGCAGATTAGGCCAGTATTTAATGATGTGTTTTGGCTCTCCACCATGTTGTTGGCTGCCACAACTGTTGCCTTTTTCAAGGATAGGGAAGGTAGATGTGTTTGGGGGCAGCTCTAGCCTCTGTGGAGTAGGATTTTTGTTTATATGAATTCAGAATATGCAAGTTTTTGGTGAAAGTGCAAGGTTATAGTATGCATCCTTGCTGTTGACGTGCACCTAGTTTTATCTGGATAGATAAATACCATCTGCAAAAGCAGCAAGATTGCTTACAGCTCACTTTGAATCAATGACTTCCTTAACACTCTAGGGTGCCTTACATTAGACTGCCGTCTTAGGCTCCCCATTGTTTGTTCCTTGGATGCTGAAAGTTTAAGGAGTTTTTCATTAAATATTTTAAATATGCAGAATGTACAGAGAAAAATATAATGAAGGCTTAACTTTTGCCTTATTTCCTTCATATCATATTTGCTTTAAGAAAAAAATTTTATATATCTGTTTGAAGCCTCCTTTATATAACCTTTACCTGGTCTTAATTTTTGACCTGTCTTCACAGAGTAGCTTCTGTTCTGAAGTTGATGTATATCTTACTGCCCATATTTTTATACTTTCACTAAAAGTGTGTAATAAACAATTCACAAATTGTTTTAAACTACAAAAATGGTATCAAATTCTACCTTTTATTTTACAACCTGCCTTTTTAAATCAATGTTGAGTTTTATTCATATTGATGTATGTAGATCTAGTTCATTTTTTGTTTTTTTTTTTTATTTTTTGTTTTTTTTTTTTTTATCCTCACCCAAGGACATTTTTCCAGTTTTTGTTCAGGTAGAGTGGGAGGGAGAGAGAGGAAGAGAGAGAGAGAGAGAAACATCGATGTGAAAGGAACACATCGAGTGGCTGCCACCCGCACAACCGACCAGGGCCGGGGACAAACTGCAACCGAGGTACATGCCCTTAGCGGGAACCGAACCCGGGTCTCTCAGGACCGCAGGCCGACACTCTAACCGCTGAGCCAAACCGGCCAGGGCAGATCTAGTTCATTTTTTAACTACTGTGTATTTTCTGTGAGTAAACCTCCATTTAGTCTGGTGGGTTACTAATGAAGAGTGCTGCAGTAATGCCCTTATTCAGGTCTCTGTGCACACATGCAAGCATTTTCCTAGAGTAGTGTTAGTCAGCATGTGGAGTGGGTCATTGCCCTGACACCAGCTTTTTGTTTCTGATCCACAAAGAGAGGAGTACAGAAATGGAGAATGGGTGTCTAGAAGTTCTTATAGCCTTTATTGTATCTGTTAAATCTAATTAAAAACTGGAGCTTGTGCTTTTGTTTTTTAATATTTTTACTAATACTTCATTTTTATAATTTACAAAATAGTGATTCCTAACAGAGTGAAATACCCCAAAATGAATTGCGCTTTCCCACAGATTCCTCTAAAATACATATCTCGAAGCCGAATTGTTGGGTCACAAGGGTATACACATCTTCAAATGTATAATCTATTGCCAAATTGCTCTCCAAAGTGATTTTTCCATTCTACCTTCTCTTCAGCAGTATTTGAGTTTCAATATCTGTGCTGCTATATTAAATTACCATTTCTGCACATCCTCCTCAACATTTGGAGTTATCAGACTTTAAAAAATTTATGCCAATTTGATGGTGGACATTGTGTCACATGATTTCAGTTGAATTTCCCTCATGACTGTAAAGTTGAATATTGTTTATTGGTCATTCAGGTTTCCCTTTTTGTAGTGTATGAATTGCCTGTTAATAATATTAGTCTATTATTTGATTACATTTTTGAACTAATTTGTAGAAGTTTTTTATATCTTCTGGATATTAATCCTTTCCCAGGTTTATTCATTGCAGATATCTTCTTTCAGTTTGTGGTTTGTTTTTGAACTTTTTGTTTTTGACATACATATATATTTAATTTTCAAATAATCCAGATTCATTCATTTTTTTCTTTTCTGGTTTGTGTTTTTCCCGTCTTGTTTAAGAATTCTTTCTTAGCCTCAAAGTAATAATTTTATTCTAAAAGTTTTACAGTTTTGCTTTTTATATTTAGGTCTTGAATCCATTTGGAATTTATTTTAGTGTTTAATGTGACATAGGGATTCAGTTTTGTGTTTTTCAAATGGCAAACCAGTTGATTTCACACTATTTATTAAATAGTTCATTATTTCCTCCACTTAGTTCTAATGCCACATTGGTCATGAAACAAGTTTCTATATATGATTTGTTTTGTTGCTTAGGCCTCTATTTTGTTTCAATTTCTTGGTCTAGCTTTCTCAAATTACCCTGTTTTAGTTATTGTAGATTTTATGTTAAGTCTTACTATTCTTGGAGAACAAGTTTCTCCTTAACTATTTTTCTTAATTATTCCTAACTATTCCTAAAATTGGCTTGAACTAGCCCAGGACATTTATTCTTCCAAAAACATTTTAGAACTAGCTCTTCAAGTTCTATAAAATATAATATTGGGGTTTTTATTGGAATTGCATTACCTGTATACATCGCTTTGGAGATAATTACAATATGTATAATATTGAGTCTTATAAATCTATCATATTTCTTCATTTATGAAAAATGTCTTTCCAAAAAAGTCTCATCATTTTCTTAAAGTTCTTGCATATTCTTTGTTAGAGATTTATTTCTATATATTAACTTTTTTACAATTATAAATATGCCCCTTTTTGGAAGGTACTTTTTCGCTTTTGTATAGGTATGCTGTTGATTTTTTTTTTTTTACTTAGCAATCTTGCTCAAAATGCTATTTCTAATAGTCTCTTGGATTTCCCATGTGAGCAATCATACTTCAGATCATCTGTTTCTTTCTTTCTGGTCCCACACTTTTTAGTTTTATCTTACTGCTTCAGTCTATGCCTTGTTGAAAAGAAAAATGGTGGTGATTGGGCATTCTTGTCTTGTTCCTAACTTTATGTAGTCCCAATGATGTTTACAGTACTTAACTTTTACTGGATTAATGAAGTTTCTTTCTGCCTCTTGCTTGCCAAGAGATTTTATCATGAATGGCTGTATCTGTTGAAATGAGCATATACTTTTTCTTTTTAAAGCTATTAATGTGGTGAATTATAGTAATAGATTTTCTATTACTGGATTATCTTACCTTCTGGGATAAGCCCACTTTGTCATAATGTAGAAGGTTTACCTCAATACATTACTCTATATGGTTTGCTGGTGATTTCTGTAAAATGCTTAATTTTATTTTTATAAATGATATCAGCTTATAATTTTTTTCCTCCTACTCTTTTTGTTGTTATTGTTGTTAATCCTTACCCGAGGATATTTTTCATTGATTTTTAGATAGAGTGGAAGAGAGGGAGAATGAGAAAGAAAGAAACATCAATGTGAGAGAGACACATTGATTGGTTGCCTCTCGCACAACCCTAACTGGGGCCAAGGATTGAACCTGCAGCCCAGGAACATGCCCTTGACCAGGAATCTAATCTATGACCCTTCGGTCTGAGGGCCAACGCTCTAAGCGCTGAGCCAAACCAGCCAGGGCTTTCCTTCTCTTAATGTCAGGTTTTTGTTTTGTTGTTTTTTGTATTATGGTTACGCTAGCCTCAAAATGAGTTACAGAACATTTCTTCTTTTCTGGAACATTTTGTATAAAATAACATATTATCTCCTTGTAGATTTGGTGGAACTCACTTGTAAAAACCATCTTGGTCCAGTGGGGTTTGTGTTTTTTTGTTGCTTGTTTTCTGTTTTGTTTTGTTTTTTGTGTGTAGTAATAGTTAACCTACTGATTTAATTTATTGCATATAGGTCTATTCAGGTATTTGTTTCTTTTTGAGTCAGTTCTGGTAGTTACAGTTTTCTAGAAAATTGTTTCATCTGCTATTTCAAATATGGGTGGCATAAATTTGTAGAATTCTCTTTTGATTTTTAAAACCTCTACCAAATTTGTATACTCCCTTTTTATTTTTAATATTGTTTACTTGTGCCTTCTTTTTTGGTGAATCAGTTTTGCTAGAGGCCTGTCTTATTTATTCATCTTTTCAGAGAACTGGATTTTAATTAGGTTGGTTTCTTTTGTCACTTCCTTTTCAATTATATCATTTACACTTAATTTTATTATTTCATTCCTTCTACTTTTTTTGAGTTTGCTTATTGGTTCTTTTCTAACTTATTGAGTTACTTAATTCTTTAGCTTTTAGTCTTTTCTAATGGAAATGTGTAAGATTATATACTTCTAAGTTCTGCTTTAGGTATAGCTCAAGTTTTGAAATGTAGTTTATTATTGGTGTTCAGTTTTAATTTTTTAAAAAAATTTCCATTATGATTTCTTCTTTGACTCATGAATTATTAAAAGTATGTTTTTAATTTCTGATTGAATGGGTTTTTAGGGGGCTACCTTTTTGGTGTTGATTTCCAATATTAATGCATTATGGTCAGAAAATATCTGTTATATGGATTCTTAAGTATTTGTTGAAATTTGTTTTGTGGCCTATCAAAATATTGTCCTTTTTTGGTAAATGTTCTGTGTGCCTGAAAAGGTTGAATGTATATTCTCTATATGTTGGATGCAGGTTTCTCTGTATACCATTAGGTCAGGCTGGTATTGTTCACATCTTCTGTATTCTTCTAATATTTGCCTTCTTGAGCTATCAGTTACTGAGAGGTGTGTTAAAATATCTCACAATGACTATGGATTTGTTAATTTATAGTTTTTTTCTTTATATATTTTGGGGCTATTTTTTTCAAGAGTATTCAGGATTAGGATCATTACATCTCTCTGGAAAATTGCTCCCATTATGTAATAAACCCTCTTTATTTCAAATATGCTTTTTGGCTGTTTGGTCTGATGATAATATAGCTATACCAGATTTCCCTTGATTAGTTATTTTCCTGATGTATCTTTTCACATCCTTTTACTTTCAACTTTTCTATGTCATTATGTTTTAGGTGTGTCTCTTGTAAACAGCATATAGCTGGATTTTGTTATCTTATCCAATGTGAGAATCTGTCTTTTAACTGGTGAGTTTAGTTTTTTTATATTTATTGTGGTTACTGCTATGTTTAGATTTGTTTATATCATTTAATTTTGTGCTATTTACCATGCATCTTTTTCTCTGCTTATTTTCCTCCTCTTTTCTGATTGGTATTGAATTTACTGAATTTTCTTTATTCTTCCTTTTACTTGATTGGAAGTTTTACATTTTATTTTAGAATGTATAACTAGCTGTGACCTATAAAATGTTTATAAGCATACCTGATTTGACAAAATCTAAAGTTAATCATTCTTTCTATCCTCTTCTTGAACAATACCTTAGAATGCTTTAGGTCTTATCACTGTCCCCCACTCTTTCATATTACTGTTGTCTGGTATTTTAGTTTCATGTTGTTTTTATTCCCCCGTGAATTTTATCATCACTGATTCTTACAGTAAACATTTATTTTGATTTACATGTATTACGTAATTTTTTTCTTCATTGTTTTTGACAGTTTTTCTTTTCTGCTAGTTTTTTTTCAGTGAAGGCTTAGGAATGGAAACTTACTCTCAGTCTTGTGGTCTGAAATGCTTTTGTTCCATTCTTGAGTGGTAATTTAGCCTATAGTTCAACTAAATTTATTATCCTTTGTTACTTTGGTAATATTTTGTTTTGTTTTACCTCTTCTCTTTTTACTTTTAAGATTTTTCTCTTTGTCTTTGGGTATTCTCTCATTTCACTATGATGTGTCTGGGTAGAGAAAAGCTTACCACTCACTGGGCTGGTAGATAGAGGTTTTATTCTCACTGCAGCCCTTTAGCTGTCTCTCAGTTGTTCCAGCATCTCAAGGCCTCATCTCCTGGCCCTGCTTGGGCAATAACCCAAATTTTTCTCCCTTACTTGTCTAATAATCACCTCAGGGCTGCCACCATATAGGCCCTCAGCTCTCCCTTTGCTTATATCTATCTTTTTTTTTTTAATTGATTTTTTTACAGAGAGAGAGGGAGAAATATCAATGTGAGAAAATCAACCGGTCACCTCCCGAATGCACCCCAACCAGGGATTGAACCTAGTACCTGGGTATGTGCCCTGACCAGGAATCGAAACAGTGACCTTTTGGTGTACTGAATGACACTCCAACTAACTGAGCCACACTGGCCAGGGCCCTTTCCTGATTCTTGAGGAGCTCGCATTCTTTCTTAGAATCTCAGCGATGCGTTAAAAAACAATTTTGTTAAATTTAATCTAGCACTTTAAGGCAGTGATTTTCAACCGGTGTGCCATGGCAGGCACACTGGTATGTTGAAAGAATTTTTAAAACATGCAGTACCTGACTATTTAGTCAGGGGCACTGACCTCTTTCCCTTAGATTGTCAAATAAAAAAATCACAACAGCCAATACATAATAGCTTTCCAATGTGAATGAATCAAATTATATCTATTTTTTGTCAGATTGGCAAAAATATAATATATTTTTGGTGTGCCACAGAACTTTAGTAATTAGTTTATATGTGCCATGAGATCAAAAAAAGGTTGAAAATTACTGCTTTAAGGTGTTATTACCTGAAGGATTTTCTCATCTGCCTACTCCACCATTTTTCTAGACTAGAAGTTTGGTCATACTCTATGGGTTTATCCCCACACATCAAAGAGCACTGTTAAATGGGGTCATGGAAGCAGTTCTATGTTGAGGAACCATTCTCTGGGCTCAAGCTGCAGGTGCCAGATCCCTACTTTCATTCAAGTTTTATTTTCAGTTTCTGCTTATAGCTAAATTTCTAGCCCAGTTGAACAGTCTATTTTTAGGATGATATTACATAGATTGATTTTATGCTGATGGGGAAAATGGGGAGGTGTGCCCTGGAGTAACTGATAAAGGCTACTGTCTTCTAGAAAATGGAAACCACTTGGAAATTTTCTTTCCATTATGCATTCCCCTAGTAAGTGCATAAAATGTGTTAAAATACTCACCTTCTTTGGCTGAAAAGGAGAATTGAGAATATTCTTCAAGAATTGCAGTGACTGAAATAAAAGTATAATTAGAGTCTTTTCTCCCTTGGTCCTGGATCCTTTGGTTAGGCCAGAGGTGAAAGTGTTTCTCATTTTCCTGCCTGTTGCAGCTAACTTGTTCACTCCCAGCACTGTTTCTACATTCTCAGATGAATAATCTTATCTTTCACAGCAGTCAGAATATTCCTTCTCTGATATATTTTCATCGTGTCATTTTTTTAATGGCAGTTTAACAGTTGATCCTGAGTATATTAAAGCTAATTCCTCAGACTGTCACTCAAGAAAGGATGTCTTCTGGCCCTTCTTATTTTTTGTTGTATTCTCTCATCAGCTGGCTCTGTATTCTTCATTGTGACTTGCTCATTCGTACCTTCTTGTCTTTGTTTACTCCTTCAGCTATGTCCTCCTAGGTCATGTCCATTATTTTCTTTAAAATTTCTTCTAGAAGGGCTTTCTTGGTGTAACTTATCTTCTTTCTCCTGCTACATTATATAATTGTCCTACCTTTCCATGCATTTATGTTGCTCTGTTTTTGTTCTGAGTACTTTCATGAAGTGTCTTTTTTTCCCATTAGCTTGTGGACCATTGCTATATAATCTCTTGAAGGACTAGAATTCTTACCATTTGTATTCCCCCTTCCCACAAAATTAGCACTGTCAAAATAGAACAGTTAAGTAGGAAATAAACTCCCTTTTTTTCTTCGAGTTGTTTACAGTCTAGGTAGAGAAAACTTAATGAAACAGTTAGTCTGTAACACCTTATGTAAGAAAACGTTAGACTGTGTGCTGCCGATTCTAAGTACGGAACTAGGAAAGGGTTTCTAAATGTGTTCTTTTGTGTATAATTATAGAAGCGGAGAAGATTGCACAAGTGGCAAAAATTTGGTTTCAGCAGAAGGTGATGGAGAAAGAAACTGAAAAGCGCATTTCTGAAATTGAAGGTACACGAGGAAAAGGAGGCTCTGACTGTCCTAATCTGCCTCTCTGCCCCAGGGATTGGGCTCTGTGGTGGGTGGGAAGGCCGTAGACAGAATACAGTCGGCCCTCGTTTATCACAGTTACTCAGTTGCAGACTCTACCGCGATAAATGAATTTCCATAAAGTAGGATTCTTTATACAGTCGGCCCTCGCCACTTCGTGCTTCGACTGTCGAGGCTTCACTTTATCGCAGTTTTTTCAAGTATAGTCTAGTCTAGTATTTGGAAAAACCGCGATAGAGTGAAGCTGCGACAGTTGAAGCACAAAGTGGCAAGGGATGACTGTAATCTAGTCTGAAGGAAGTGACTGATCTGATATTCTAGACACATCATTTTTTTTTTTTTTATCCTCACCCAGGGACATTTTTGCATTTATCTTCAGATAGAGCGGGAGGAAGAGAGAGAGAGAGAGAGAAACATCGATGTGAGAGAGACACATCAAGTGGTTGCCACCCACACGACCCCAACCGGGGTTGGGGACAAACCGAAACCAAGTTACGTGCCCTTAGCGGGAACCGAACCCGGAACTATCTGGTCCATGGTCCAACACTCTAACCACTGAGCCAAACCAGCCAGGGCTAGAAACATTATTTTTAAATTGCCATTACATGTCTAGTTATTGGTTTGATTTGTGACTATGACTAAGTCAGCCTTTCCTTTTCTAACTTAAAATGGGGTTTATAAGCTCCTACTTTGTCCTTAGGCAGTATGATAATTACCCATAATCAGTTGTAAAGAATGTACAAGGTGAGAAACCCCACCACAACCAGTTTCTTTTCTGTCAAAAAACAAAAAAATTAGCTGGAGAAAAAAGAAATCCCAGTTTTCCCAGAGGCTCAAACTCCTTGATTTTACATAGTGAGATGTTGCTGTTCTTAGCTCACAGTCTTGAAGACCAAACATCCAACCTCTCTGCTTATATACATACCACTGCTTCCTATTGTTCTGCATAATTGCTTTTTTATCAAATGCAGAGAGGGTGAAGACAATGCAGTAAACAGAGCAGAGCTTTCATGTCTGGATTTAGTTATTTCACTTGAAGCTGAGAGCCTAGGTGGGGCGTGATGGAGGGTGGAGGAAAGAAGAGCAACTTTAAGTGGAAAATGAAGTGGGCTCAAATGAGCTGAGAGCTGTTCAACATTGACAAGAGTATTCCCCTTTTAGAACAAGCTGTCTGAGGACTGGAATTTGAAAACTAGTGTTTCTCTATGCCTTTAAAGTAGAGTAAGTGATCAAAATATCAGGCAGTGGAGAAAGGGACCCTTAATTAAGTTAGAGCCTGAACTTGTACCCAGCTGAGGAAATGGATTGCAAGTTTCCTGTGTTTTAAATACCCTGACTCTGCTGTGTTTGCTAGATGCCGCATTCCTGGCCCGAGAGAAGGCGAAAGCAGATGCTGAATATTATGCCGCACATAAATATGCCACCTCAAACAAGGTGACTGGCTCTCTGTGCCACTCTCCTAGTAATATAATTTGGGGTTTTGTTTTCCCTTGTGGGGGGGCTATAATGTGATAGAGGAGATTTTATCCAGTGTCAAGAAAGGATAGTTGCCATCACCAATCACTTAGCAAGATGTATTGCACACTCATTGAATAGAGGGTTCTGTATATTTGCTTACAAAAATGGGGAGCTGTGACAAAGACAATCAGATATATAAAAACAAATGCCATATAACCATTCATTTGTACTGCTATATGAGAGCTCAGTAATCAAGAAAGTTGAGGGACTTCTGAAATGACGAGAACTGGAGAAGAGTAAAGTTTACTTAGAATTGCTTCCCAGAAAAGGTAGGGTCTTTTTGAGGACATGCTAAGCTTGTTTAAAGCAGTGTTTTTCATCAGAGATATTCTTGGAATTTTGGAGTGAGGTACTTTTTAGTTGTTGAAGATCATCCCATGCATTATGAGATATTTTGCATCCCAGGCCCTTGCCTACTAAATGTCAGTAGTGCTTGCCACTTATTTTAATAATCAACTCCCCCACAAATGCGTTTCCAGGTGCCCCCAGTTGAGTACTGCTTGTTTACTGGATTTAAAAATGGTTCTAGTCAACAACTTGAGAAAGGAGGTTGGGTGATGTGTAGGTGACCGATTTTTGTACGGGGACTGGGATAAATTTAGGTCTAGAGAATACAGGCCTAGTTAGCAGGAATTATTTAAGAGGCAGCTAGAATCCCTATGGTATTCTGAGAAGGGAAAGATATGACCAAGGTTTATAAGATTATTAGTTGTAGAGTACATTGGTGCAGAAAGAATGAAGACAGGGGTTACTAAGGTATATGATATACTTAGAAGGATTAGAGGTCAAGATTGTAGGTACAGACAAAGCCTAAACTCTTGTGGTTTAGAAAGGAACAACATACTCTGTTCAGAATGAGTGTTAAGACATGATAGATGACAGAATGAGAGCTGTCAGTTCTGTGAAATTCAGTATGAATTTAGAAAAGCATTTAACATATTGGAGGACACAGATATATAGAAACAGAATGGAGTTTGGCTGAGATGAGAAACTTGAGTTTACAAAACTGACATTTCAAGTCTGTCATGGGAGAGGCTAACCAGGCACAGATTTCCAGACCTTGTCATTGAAGTCAGCCTTATGCCAAAAGGGCAGCAAGTGGTTTTATGCCACTTTGAAAAATGCTGTTCAGATACTGACCTGTATTAATAAGGCTTTAGAAAGTAATGTGTTTACGTACTGTGACCAGACTTGATGGCAGTGTTTCAGCAGTCAACTGGAAAGGGTGTAGGTCCAGGGAGTGGAAGATGTCAGGGGGCTGTGAAGGACAAGATGGGCTTTTGTCTGGAGGATAAGCTGGGACTTGAGATGAGGAGATGATCACTAGGGAAGGTTCTGGAACTTTCGGAGTATATTTTAAGGATCATTGGAAATGAGTGAGTTTTAATCAAACCCAGAGAGATTGTGGTTGAATAAATCTTAGCATCATGATTTAAACAAAACACTGTGACAGGGAGAAAGACCTATGATTGACAGACATTTTTCCATCACAGACAGTTTAAACATCCAGTTTCTGGGTAAAGGCAAGAGGCCAGACCAGGTGATTTCTTGAGATATTTTTTAGCTCTAGAATGTGATCAAGAAAAGCAGAACCACAGATGATTACAAGGTTCTGAGCCCAGGCCCTTCCTTTGAAGCTCTGCCACTCTTATCCACTGACCTGTTCACTTCCCAAGAGAAGCAGCAGAAATTCCAGACTGATTCCAGGTTGGTTCAGCTAGATGAAATGAGAAAGTAAACATGAAAGTACTTTATCAGTACTTTAATAAATGTTAGTTATTATCATTATTTAGTGAGTTATTCATCATTCCCCCAAACCACTCCGATCCTCAACCTTTTTTTAAGTTAAAAAATAAACAGCTTCTCCTACATTAGAACAGCTTGTTGAAGGAACTTCAAGTCTGGAATATAGCTATTAATATGATAGCCACACTTCAAAGTGATAGAGGGTCATTGGCAACAATACAGATTTGAGTAATGATACTCAGAGTAATAGGGAAAATGTGTGTAAGGAGACAGAAGGATGAATATTGCATCAAAGTGTCCTGATGCTTCTGCTCTTGTTTGCCCCCACACAGCACAAATTGACCCCGGAGTATCTGGAGCTCAGAAGGTACCAGGCCATTGCTTCTAACAGTAAGATCTACTTTGGCAACAACATTCCTAGCATGTTCATGGACTCCTCTTGTGCTGTGAAATATTCAGATGTTAGGACTGGAAGGAAAAGCTCTTCTCTCCTCTCTAAGGAGGCTGTTGAACCCTCTGGAGAGAGCCCCATCCAAAAAAAGGAGAGCATAGGTTGATGCAAGAGGTGAAAATGTTCTCCCATATCAAGATGTGGCCCTAGGGGTTCAGTGGGAACAATGGTTATGGACTCTCCATGCTCGTGTGTTCTGCCTCTCCTGTGGTAGTCCTGGCTTATCAACTGATTCCAGGATAGAGCCAGCTGTCTGGCACTCAAATGGTCTTTTCAGCCGCAGTTTTATCAAGTATGCTGTGTGTGTTCCTTGCTAAACTGGTACTTATGAAAGAGGAAAGTCTGATGCTAAGATACTGCCTGCACTGGAATGTTAAACACTAAATACATAACAAGCTGTGTTTTTCTAAGCTGAGATCTATTGAATAATGTTTACATTGGTCCCCCGGAAAATGTGTACTCAGCCATTCAAGAGATAGGAGGCCAGAGAGAAGACGGCCAGGATGTGGTAAATATAAAGAAGACTCACTATACCTGGGACTCAGGTGCTCTTTAGGGCCCAGTTCCAGCGCTCACCCATGTGATTAGCATCTAGTATGCCGAAAGTTCCCCAGGAAATGATCTTCCACTTGAGCAACCCTTTACTTGATACAATTTGCGCCTTTTTGTTTTCCTACAGTCAAGTTGGTGGCCTGCTGGGACATTCACCTTGCCACTCTACCAGATTCCTTGTAGAGATTCCTAATCACTAGTGTATTGCATTAGTAGGTTCAAAGATAGAGCTTGGTTTGAAGTTTGGGGTGAGATGAAACCTTGAGTTTGAACCAAAGCTCTGGGGACCTGCATTCTCCTCCATTGGGTGATGACTGTGTCACTGTCTCAGGCCATGTGTGACTAAGGTACCTGGTTTCTAGTCACAGACAACTTCTTATATGTCACCTCTCAGCTCTGGCTGGCTAAGAGCAAGACAGGGCTTTAACCAGAAATAGGAGCAGCATATGATTCCTAGCTATTCACTGCACAGTATTGTATTAAAAACTGCAGGAAGTTTTTATTTTTAAAACTGGATTTGGGGTACATTCATTTGCCCCAGTACCTCTGCCTAAAGGCTATATTCTAGGCTACCATGGTTACTAGCACACTGATTCTCCTTCTCAGTATTGTTCATTAGGAGCCCATATAGGGTGGGATGAAGAGTAACTTAGAAAGCATCCTTAGTCATTTGTGTCTCCTTCCCTCTTGGCCCGGAGATACTTTAATCTTTCATGAGAGGATGACATTTTTAGCCTGTGGCTATGGGAGACTATTTAACCTGGACATTTTTTCCCTTAAAGATTAACTTTCCTGAAATAGTGTGCTCCATAGTTAGGCCTGAGTATGTGCGACTTGTTAAGACCTTTTGTGTAGACTTTGTTCAAGCCAGACAGAAGAGTCATGGGGACCACTTCCAGCAACCTTTCAGCTGACTGTCAGTCTCATGATAGTTGTGGGTTGTGCCAAACACTATATGGGAGTGGAATCCCATATTTGAGTGGGTCTTTTCCCTGGGCCTTATCCTATAGAGGCATTTATAATATGGAGAGAATCATTTTTCAATTTTGCTCATTTAATTGTATACTTTCTCTTTATGAGTGAATTTTGTGTTCTCTAGCACTCTTTAAAAGAACTTTTGAACTAAAAATAAACTCTTCACCTGTCATATATTGTTGCTGCAGATAAATAATGATTGTTGTGGGAAATTTGGATCATTAATCTTTGTGCTTTCATTCTTAGAGATGTTTCCTATTCCCATGAGCTAAAAGCTGCTGCCCCAAAGTGATGGATATGGATTATCTTATAAGCCACACACCTGGTGGCAGAGTTGAGGAACAGGGAAATTACATTGTGAAGTTTTAAAGAAAGTACTTCCACTTGAACTTCCCATGGAGTGTGCTTCCCTGTGCCCACTCTAGCTCTAGGTCTGTCCCTCCTTCAGGGATGTTCCTTTTGACAAAAATACACTGTAATCTTGGATCTAAATTTATATGTGAAATGCTACCTTTTTAAAAAAAAAAAAAAAGAAACTAAATAAAATTATTTTACTATCAGTGATTTGTGATTTCCATATGTCTTCATTCTTTTCTGTTGTCTTAATATGTTCCCAAGGCTTTCTTGCCCACTTCACTAGGTAGCCACTTTATTTTAGTTAAGTTTTTCTTAACTATAGAGGCTTTTCTTATACCCTTCCTAGAACACTGCCTCCCGGTATGAGAATTTTTTTATCTCATTTATATGTAGAATCTGATGAACAAAATAAATCCAGAGACATGGATGCATGGAACAGACTAACAGATCTTGGGGTAAGGGGTGGGGTGATTAACCAAAGAATTTGTATAGCCCAGACAATAGTCTGGTGAAGGCCTGGGATGGGGCTGGGATGGGGGGGGGAGGGGAATGGAAGGAAGGAAGGAAGCAGTTGTCTTGAGACAGAAGAAAGATACATTGTATAAATTATAACACAATGGTGTGGTATAAGTAACTTCACTAATTCAGTAGTTGGCTCAAGAGCCAGGGTTGGACCCACTCTTCCCAAGCTGTCAACATGCCCTCCTGGACAATTTAACAGAGATGTTGGGACAGGAGGGTTTGGTAGTTGGGAGTGTTGAGGAAAGCAGCACTTGACTCTGGTTCCTGTAGGATCCAGCCTTATAGTATCCTACATCTGCTACTGCGGACCAGGGAAATTCAGTTTGAACCAATTATCCTATAGGCTTTTGGTAGGTATTAAAGTGAAGTGATTTAGAACTAAGTTATTTCCTCTTGCTGTGGGGAAGGAATTTTGTGATTAGAAGTTGTGACTGACTTCTAATTGTTTTAGGATTGAGTCTCAAACATATGTGTATACAAGGATTTTTGTGATTTGACCTCCACTTACCTGTCTAGCCCAGATCCTTGAATGTACCTTCTGTCAGTCTCTGCATATATTGTTCCACCTGCCTGGCTTACTTTTTCTCTCTTATAGCTCCAACTTTCCTTTGCTAACTCCTAGTGGATGGAGTCTTCACTTCCTCATATAGGTCTCCCTGCCTACTTGCCAAGGTCAGCACCCCACATTTCCCCCTTTGTAACATTTCCCACACCTCACATACCTGTTTAATGCCTGTTCTCACAAATAATTCAGCTTTCCGGGAGCAGGGACTGTGACTGTGGTCTTCCCTGGGGTAGCATCTGTTGCTCATGCCTATCATGGTGCCCGACCCATAAGAGTTAGTCATTTTTTTATCCTCACCCGAGGACATTTTTTGATATTTTGTTCAGATAGAGTGGGAGGGAAAGAGAGAGAGAAACATCAACATGAAAGGGATACATCGAGTGGTTGCCACCCGCATGACCCAACCAGGGCCGGGGACAAACTGCAACTGAGGTACGCGCCCTTAGCGGGTACCGGACCCGGGTCTCTCAGGACTGCAGGCTAATGCTCTTACTACTGAGCCAAACCGGCCAGGGCAAGAGTTAGTCATTTTTGTTGTACAAAAGAATAAATGGATTAGTTGACTAGTGGGGAAAAAGGAAGGACATAGAAGTTTGGCTAGAGTGTCCATGTCAAGGCTTAAGGTGAACCATGGGAAGTTACCTAACATCTCTGAACCTGTTTACCCATCTTTGCAGAGTTCTTCAGTGGATTCAGCAAAATATGTTTATGTACCTCATATAGTAGTAATGTCAGGTGTGTTAATTCACTCACTCTATAGGAGTCAGTATATGTTTCTGTCTCTGAGTAGACTAAGTTCCTGTAGTGGAGAGAGTACAGGACTGATATATATATCATAAAATACATTGAGTTAATGTTTTCAGTGGATATGAGTTAAGCTAGCTAACTGGATCTAAAACCTTGACCACAGCCTACCAGGAAAATCTCAACAGGTGGCCCAGCTTCTTAGCTTTTTCCTCATCTCTGGTCTTTGAATAAGCATTTAGAACTACAGTTGGCCCTTGAACAACATGAGGGTTAGGGAAACCAACCCCCTATAAGTCAAAAATCTGTATATAATTTTTGACTCCCCAAAAAGCCTTACAGGTAACAGTTAACACGTATTTTGTATGTTACATTATTATGTATTGTATTATTACACTAAAGTAAGGTAGAGAGAAAAAAAAAGTTACTAGGAAAATACATTTACAGTGTTTATTGAGAAAAAATCTATATATAAATGGACCCATGCAACTCAAACCCATGTTGTTCATGGGTCAGCTGTAATTTACTGTTAATTCATTGTTCACTCCAAGTATCCATTATTACATTAGACCATAACATAGAATGACATTTAACTTGTTTTCCTTACCATCTCTTTTTGGAATTATACCTTCCTCTTTTTTTTTTTCTATTTTTCTATCCATTTTTCTACTTTCCATGTGCTATAGACTGAATGTTTCTCCCTAAACTGCATATCTTGAAGCCCTAATTTCCAATGTGACAGTATTTAAAGTTGTGGCATTGGAGAGGTGAATAGGTCATGAGGGTGAAGCCCTCGTAAATGGAATTGGTTCACTTTTTTTTTCCTTTATTGATTTTTACGGGAGGGGGGGAACATTGATGAGAGAAAACATGGATTGGCTGCCTCCTATATGCCTCCCACTGGGGATTAGGCCCACAAAACTGGGCTTGTGCCCTAACTGGGGTGCATGGGTCAACACTCAACCACTGAGCCACATCAGCTGGGTAGAATTGGTTCACTTATAAGAAGAGACATGAGAAGGATGTCTGTCTCTTGGCCATGTGAGGACACAAGAAGGCAGCCATCTGCAAACAAGGAAGAGGACTCGCACCAAACACCAAATCTACTGGCACTTTGATCTTGGCTTCCCAGCCTCCAGAACTATGAGAAATAAATTGTTGTTTAGGACACCCAGTTTATGGTATTTTGTTACAACAACCTGAGTAGACGAAGACACCATCTACTTCTGTTTTTTATCTTCAAAGAAAAATGTTTTCTTCATTTCTTTCTATAGGTATTAATTGGGCATCGAGAATGTGCTAGTTGCCACTAGAATGTGCTAGTTGCCAAGGCAACAAAAATGCTTATAGCCTTATCGTGGCGGGCGGGGGGGGGGGGCGGTTGATAAGCAAATAAAAGGCACTTACCATAGTGTGGTAAGTAACACCACAAAGTGGACACTGTATGCAAAGGGCAAAAATGAGGGTCAGACCAGCCTAGTGGTTCCTAGGAGACAATGTCAGATCTTGGCCAAATTTTTAAGGATGGATAGGAGGTTGTCAGCCCCTGGAGAGAGATGGTAAAATGTGTTTCAAGCAGTGGGAGCACCAGATGGTATTTTAAAATGTAATTCACTGAGTCCAGGTCCAAGGCCACCTATCACTACTTGAACCACATTAAGCAGGGACAGGGTTAAATCATATGTGAGCATTTATTCCAATGATGCCAGCGGTATAGGGAAAGCAGCAGGTCATCTAAAAATTCTGCTTTGACGCCCCCCTCCCCCCGGCAGTTGGCTGATTATATGTGGGCGAGGGAGAAAGGGCAGTGGGCAGCTGGGAATGTAGCAGAGTAAGGGGAGTGCAAGGTCTGCTGTCAGTGTGTCTGCCTTCAGGAGCTCAAAATTCGATAACAAGGTAGTTAATTTTCCATGATGTTAAAAACATCTGTGTCTGTTCTTGGGACCAGAGAATGGTCATCATTCCTGAGGCAAACTTCTGGAGGGGGTCAGGGTCCAGGCACAGCAACCAAATCAGAGTGTCCTATCCTTGGTCTGTTCTCAAAATGTATTTTCTGAGTAATGGGCCCATTGGGGCTCCGAGACATGGAGACATCTTTTTGTTTTTAAGTAATTATTTTTGTTACAGATGTTTTCTCCTTTTTAGACGTCTTTATCTTTTTACAGCCCTGTTTTTGTTTTTTGTTTTGCAGCACATTTTCCACTTTCCCAGGGTCTGTAAGAAAACCTTTTATCTATAGTTGGTAAGGCGAATAATCATTAAACAACTGTGGTTTTATTCTTATTAGGTGCCTTCCCCCTATCATTTTCTTACGTGCCCTTCCCCTGTCACTCGCCTCAACAGTGCCACGCATGCAGTTCACATGTTGTGTTTCACTGCAGGGAGCCTCCCACACTATGGAAGCTGCGGTCATTCTGCACATATATTCAACTCACATGTGCACAGAACTATCTCCAGGAACAACATTCAACCAGTGGGAGACAGGAGCGCAAGTGGTCAGAGAGGTGACCCCCTAAAACCTTTTCAGTGGAGACAGCAACCCTCCTAACACAACAGGAGAAACAATGTGAATATCAAATATAATTCAACCAATGTTTGAGTTCCTGGTATATGCCAGGAAACCTAAACCATGTGAGGTATTGGACCAATAGCGAACAAAATAGTGAATAAAACAGATACCATCTCTGCTCTTTCAGAATCAACAGTCTCGTGGGGAGATAGACCTTAATCGAACAATTTCAACTGTGATGAGACCATATAAATGGAAGGAATGTAGTGCTAGAGGTGTGCAAAAAGAAGAGTAAAGGGAGATTAAGAATGAGAAAGTGTGTTAGCCAGTCAAAGATGAGGGAATAACAAAAATAACAAAACAACCCAATTTTTAAATGGGCAAAAGATGACAATAAACATTTCTTCAGAGAATATATATAAATGGTCAGTAAAAAACATGAAAGATACTCAGTATCATTAGTGAAATGCCAGTCAAAATCACCATAAGATACCACTTCATACCCACTAGGATGGCTATAAGAAAAAAATCAGACTGTAACAAGTGTTGGCAAGGATGTGGAATACTGGAATCCTCATACCTTAATAGTAGGAATGTAAAATGGTGCAACCACTTTGAAATATATTTTGACAGTTTCTCAAAATGTTAAACATAGTTACCACATGACCCAACAATTCCACTTCTCTAGGTATCTACCTAAAAGAATTAAAACATGTTCACACATACTGAACTGCATACTTTAAAATAGTGAATTGTATGGAATACAAATTATATCTCAATAAAGCTGTTAAAAATGAAAGGCTCAGGT